CTGTGCATATCTTAAACATCATGGCACTGGAATAATTCCCCTCCTCGAGAGCTGGCTACACACAAAGGAAAGCGGAACCTCCAGCTTCCAAGTTCCTTGAAGTTATTCCTTGGGCTTTTCACTAGAGGAAATGGCTTTTGGATGAGAATGGCTCTTGCCCTTTTTTTTTATCACTTTGTATCACTTTGTGTCAAGCTAGGTTTCTCATTATTTGCCCCAGCGGTCAGTTAATTCTTTATTGCTTAGAAATTTCTCTCCAGATAAACTTGTGTTCTCTATTAGAACGTATGGATCGTTGCTTTCTGGTAACTACACCGAGGCATTCTGTAGGAACTGTTACCTGGGTGTGTGGTCACCGTACAACGCCTGAGTTGACTCCCTGTTCCTAGTGATGTGCCGCCATCCCGGTGATGGCTTCAGCCTGCATAGAAGGCGTCACAACGCAACGCAGAAGCTGAAATTGGGGTTGTAATTCCCTTTGGGGTTCTTGCGCTGCGTGTCGAGCCTTCCCGAACGCTCCAGGGCTGTTGGATGCTTTTTCATACAGCGACGGCTTAACCTCTGTGGACGTTTCCTTCTTCGTTAGCTGTCTACCTGTGACTTAGTGTTGACATCCATTTTGATTGGCTTCTCAGCTAAATAGAGGATTTACCTTTTTTATTATTATTATTATTTTTCCACTCCACGTTGCCCCCTCTCCTCTCATGAATTCATGCCTGAGAACTAGCAGGAGATAACTCAGGCAAATGATGGAGGAGATTTCCTGCTGGTCTGCTCTGAGACTTTTCCCACTGAGGTGTGACAGCTCTGCTGAGCATGCCGAAGCGTGTTTTCTTTTCAACAAATGTCTGCCTGCTGCCGCCTTAGTTTCACTTTCAAACATGCTGTCCGTATTTTGAAAGAAGTTTTGCTAGACAGATGAGCAAGGTTGGGGGGGGGGGGTGTGTTATGTAATTCAAATAATGGGTGAAGCGATAAGCACAGTTAAAAAGTGAGGAAAGAGTTAAATTGGCTATCAAGTTTTAACAGAATGCAGAGTTGTAAAATGTGTTTTTCCCCTGTTCGTCGTCATGACTACTCGCAAGGAGATCAAGTACATATTTTCAGTCTCCTTTATCAATTAAAATAGCTGGAAACCTTTTCACTTCTGAATATGTTAACTAACATACTAAGGTGTGGGCTAAACAGGTTTCTTAATATGTTAACTTGGTAAATAATGTAAATATTAAATAATACTTGCTACTCTTAGTTATTATTTATAATTCCTAAATGTTTTCATTTTTACCCTTGACAAGAAAAGAACCCAAGAATTTAGGTAGGTAGTCCAGCTACATCTCTTCGCCTAAGGTGAAGAATATGTAATTCTAAAATTGCTTGCCTATGGGGAAGTAGAGGAATTGCAGGTAAAATCGGCAACAGCCAGCCTGACAAGTTCACTTTGTGTGCGTTGTCTTCGCCACAGTGCTCGATTCACTTCAGCTTTTCAAAATGTTTCTGTATGTGTGGACTAAACTGAAGGCACCAGTAATTCCTGGTTGTATGGTGATGTGTTTATTTGCCATGTCGACAACCAAACGCTTGATTTCTTAATTTATGAGGTTATAGAATTAGGTACAATTGGATTAAATGTGATTAGTTATGTACTATATAATTATTGTAGTTGCATTCCATTACATTAGTGAGCTATGGAGAACCCTCACGACTACATCATCATCTTTCTTAGGTGGTTGCGACTTAAAGATGGTTAATTATACTCAGCCAGATCATAAAAAAAATTGACTTGCACTCCTCGCTTGTCCATAATTCCTGTGCTCGTGTTAAATCCGGGGTAGTCTGGTGGCTTACAGCAGCACCTAACTTGGGGGATTGATATATGCAGCATAGGAAATTCTTAGACTTGATGCTCAGCACCTGAATTAAATATCTTTTCTGTGATTGTTTTTTCTTGGATATAAACAGAGGATCTGCTTTCGTGCAAGAAACAAAATAGGGACCATTCGGCAGAAATTTAGGTTACGCAGTTTCCTACCCATGAGCGGTGTCTGGCTGACAGATGGGGCTTGGTAGAGAAATCGTAACTCTGTGGCAGGGGAGCAAATGTGTAGTTGGAACTGTATGTAGTACAGCTGCAGGTGTTGCAAAACTAATTGTTTGGCTTTCTGATCTGTATCAGAAGTAAAAATAAGAGTTGGGTTGTTTTGAGGTTGGTTTTTTTTTTGTCTTGTCAAACCTGCTGACGCTTCTTAGGAACAGGAATTACCAGAAACATTTACTCTAACAAAGGAATTCCGTGCAAGAAAGACTTCTCTTCATAAATACTGGTTCTTATTTTGTAAAATTTGAAAAACTTTTGCTTTTTCCTTCTCCTCAGCCAAACGGTATTTATTGCTTGGCAGGAAACCATAGGGCCACTAGGTGTCATTGCAGCCCGCCGACGGGGGACGAAATCCCTGCGGCAGAACGTGCTGATCATTTCCTTGGCTAACGGTCGGGGGTGGCTTATCCTCGGCTCTCTTGGCTGGTTACAGGTCCCATTTACAACACTTGCCTAGCCACCCTGCCCTTCGCTGGCTCCTGCGGCTGTCCTTTCTGGTTCTCCAGCCGTCCCGTTAACCACCCCTCCTTCTCCGTGCTCCTGAGAAGTCCTTCCTCACCCATACTGTTGTAGAGACTTCGCTGTCAGCTCCAGCTCAACAAGCAGCCACCAGCGACAGCTGATTCTCCACGACAGTGTGGCACTCTGTCGATAGACACTTCGGCTTCTTTACGTACATAGCCCGGATACTGGAATACAAATTTTATTTTGTTTTGGTTTTAAATCTTGTCAGTTCTAAAACTAAATTAAAAACTTTAATCCAGCTTGTTACTTCATGCGTTTAAAAATGGGTCACAGAGGCCAATCCTGGTGCTCTGCACTATTGACTGTCTGTTTGACAAGTAAGTTGTCTCTTGCCCTGACCTGACTGTCTGGGGGTTCAAAGGGTGAGTAGTTCTTACTCAGTGTTCTCTTCTTTAATTTTTGCAGCACCTATTGCTTCTATTCTTGCTCCAGATACCGTTTAATATGGATATATTCAATTTCATGTCTTCACCTTCTGATACGTGACCGTGTCATTTACAAAATATAATCTGTAGTTTGAAACATTTCATGCTGCTCTGAGCATAAAACTCTGATAGTAGATTTTAATTTTTGTTGGCTGATGGTAGCATCAGTAAAATAAAGGGTCCTTGTCATTGTCTCAGTTTAATGCTTCCTAATTCTTATTTTTCAAAAAAATCATTGTTACTATTCAGCGTAATGATTTAAAGTTAATGCTGTACATAAAGGAAAATCAAATGAAGGACTCCTAATACTTAAAGAATGTTTTTGTTTTCCCAACGAGGAAGTTGCAGTTGTATGAATGACAAGTCCAGTTCATCCGTCAGACGTGATTTTATGGAACTTCTGTTTTCTAAAGAGAACCCTTCAGGGACTTCAATCCTGATTAAGCTGCCTTAACGACTGTTGGGTGCTACATGACCTAGAGGGCATGCTTTACTCTCTTCTTCTTTTTTTAGGCTGGGGAAATACATTTTGAATCTTTAGAGAAGCGAAGCAATGTTTAGATCTGAATGTTTGCTTTAGAAGAGTCGCTGTTTTTCATGCCCATCACCACCACGCTCTCCTTGGAGGACTTTTCTGTTCATTTTGATCCATGTCTTCCCAAACAGATTGCTACTCTGCACAGTCGGTTTTGCTTCCTGCATCGTTTTGTTCTTTTTTTTTATAACGCTAGGATATGGGCACATACCTGCTTTCCAAAGATGTTCCTGTTTTTTCAGAATACTAACTCTCTCCCCCAGAAAGAAAACATTAAGGAAAGAAAACATGAAACTTTTCTTTTCCAAGGGGGAAGTTGAGCAGATCGCAATGATGAAACCAAAAGGCCAGACCGAACATGACGAAGGCATGCTTGAATACTTAGAAGACTTAATAGGATCTGCACGACTAAAAGATCCTATCCAAACTCTGTGTCACAGAGTAGAGATCTTAAACGAACAGAGAGCAGAAAAGGTGAGTCTCAGAAAGTTTTGTTTAAGTGATAAAGAAAAAAATAGAAGCTTGCAGTGTTTCATGATCCAGTTTCTTAGAGAAACAACTAACAAAGACTTGGTTAAACTTTGGCACTCCTCTGCAAGAGTAGAAGTGCAGAGACGTTCTGAGTGAGCTGTGTTGCGCCTGCTGTATCTCTCACGTCTAGAAATGGGCACTCAGCCTCAGTTGCCCTTCCTTCAGCCCCCAGAGTGCTGCTGCCTTTGCATTCCCAAAGGTTTGGATGCTCGTGTGGAGCACAGGGCTTTAC